TGCTCACCTGCAGGCTCAGGCCCCCTGGCGGCAGCTGCGGGAACTGCGGCGCGTGGTCGTTCAGGTCCCGCACCGCGAGGTACACTGCGGCCGTGGCGTTCAGCCGCGGTGTCCCGTGGTCCGTCACGAGCACGGTCAGCTGGTGGTGAGCTTGGGTTTCACGGTCTAGTGCAACCCAGTTTATGATTTCACCTGGTGGCCGAAGGAAAGGAAGGAGAAATGGAGTTAGGTATTCACTGTACGCCAGCACTCGTCTTACTGTGTGCAATTAAACATCTCATTTAATGTGAAATAACGATTCATGTCCTCTGATACACCTGTCTTTAGAACCTCAGCTTTTCAAACTCCACTACATAGAAACATTCTGTCAACCACAGTTCGCACCTGCACTTTATAGCATATTACATCTTTTACTGTACAGTGAATGCCCTGGAGCAAAGGTATAAAACAGTATGAACCAATGTGCTGATCTTCCAAAGAAATCCATCTGACCTTTCCTTTGCCACACTGCAGGACAGATAATACCTGAGCACAGGGTTTTAACTGCTGACAAATGGCCTTTATTAATTACGTACATTAATCAGGAACTTTTATGTCTCCTATATATTCTGGTAAAACCAGCAAGTAAATCTGATCAATCTTCTCCTCCATTTGTTCAACCATACTCAATGTAGCTGTGGATTTGTGGTTGAACAAAGCCCTTCACACAGATAACCACATACTATTTTAAGATCCTGCTTATTTTCTAGAACTCTGCCTTAAAACTTTCATAAATATACTTAAAAGGAACCTGCTTTGAAATGGCAGTTTTATTTTGAGATTCATACAGGGAAATTCTAGGAAAGCCTATTCACTCCCCAGAGGACATCTGGGAATAGGAATTTTAAACAGCAGATCTGTGCTGACTATGTACCATTTTGCTAAACTGGATTATTTACAGCGCCTGTGTCCCTCAGAGTGTTTCCTTCCTCTGTGCTCTCCATGCTGTGGTCTGTGGTGTTACACTGTGTGGACATAATACTGATTACTCAAGGCATTTGGGATTCACTGTAGAGTACACCCAGTGCCATGACAAATTTCTCAGCCAATTTGACTTCTGTGGTGCCATGTACAACATGAACTCAATTTTGATACAAGTTAAAGTTTTCACAAATATTTTAAATCACCCTGCCTAACATCATAGGTACCTTTACAGTTACTTATGGCTGATATGCACTTTTCAGCTCTACTTGATCACAGGCAATTAAATTCCTCATACGAACTATTAAAGCTATAACTTAAAACTTCTCCTTTCAATTTGTTGCAGTCAACCACTGAAACTTATGACCATGTGACCTGAACAGAGTAATGAAAAAACCAAATCCTAAGGGTTACTTCATTCTTCAAGAACATGTATTGGATTTATTTCATACCTGAATTGTGAAGCTCTGAGTTAGAATATTCACATAACCAAAAGATTCACAGCAGTTCCTGAACGTTTTATACTTTACTTCCATACCCCTAGGGAAAGCTGCTTTCCAAAAGCAATACTAGGCAGATTACAAATCATAAAATGCTACCTGTGTTGGAATTCATCTTGAAATACTTTCCATCAGACAAGAGGAAATAGGAAAGCTGTCCATTTCTTCCTGAGTCTTTGTCAACAGCTTTAACGGTGCCAACCACACCCCTGGGAATTGGATTTTCCTCCACTTCAAAGAAGTAGCTCTCATGCATAAACATGGGAGAATTGTCATTTTCATCCAGGACATTAACTATGACCGATGTACTTGCATTTTGCCCGAGGTTTTCATCCTTGGAGGTGCTGACCAAGGCTCTAAAACTTAGTATCTGTGTGCATTCATAGTTCAAATGTCTCCGAAGATAAATCCAGCCAGTATCAGAGTTGATTCCAAATGCAACAGAATCAGTGCTGGGCTCTAAGGAGTATGTCAAATTGGAGGTAACACTGTGTGGATCAAGTGAGTGGGCTTGAACCTGAAGAATTCGGGCACCTGGAGAGGTAGCTTCACTGATTTCTACTTGATACACCAAGTTTTGAAAAACCAAAGTAGGGCCCATCTTCTGCTCTTCAATAACCACTGTCAACATCAGCAAAGAAGTCAGAGGAGGACTTCCACAGTCCTCAGCTGTTATATGTAGAGTATATTCCTGCAAAAATGGTAAGGCTTACCACTCCAAGACTTGGATCAATGCTAAATGCATTTGACTGCTTGCTTGCAATACTGTATTTGACTGCCCCATTTAGGCCACTGTCTTTGTCTTCTGCATGAGCAATGTAGACAGCAGTGCCAGGAGGCTGAGTATGTGAAATAGTTACCTTATCAGATTCAGTAAGAAATACTGGAGGATTGTCATTAATATCTATCACAGATATGTTGACTTGAGTGCTACTGTAGACTGGGGAGTTACCCAACTGTGACTGAATGGTGAGCACTACAACAGACTGAGCTTCATAGTCAAGCTGGTTTTTGGTGCGGATAACGCCAAACTGGGGGTCAATAGAGAACTTTCCATGTGGATCACCAGAGGAAATTCTGTAAGAAACCACTTCTAAAGAATCTAGAAATGAAAATAACAACAAAAATGTAAAAACAAAGGTATGGAAGTCATAACATGAATGTTGCTAAGAACATCCATCTGTGAAGAATGCATGATGTTAAATTCAATAGAATAAATGTAGCCTACACAGATGTTTAACATTCTTGGACTTTTTATGCTTCCTTCTGCTGGCCCTGGAGCCCTTCAGTCAAATATGAATGCATACAGTTTGTCCACTCCTGCACTGCTTGATTTTCATCTCACTGGTATTATAAAACTCTATCAAGAAAATGGCATAACAGCCTCTTGTTTTTCCCGGATATAAAATATAGAAAAAACACTCCTATAAATTAATCTTGTGGGAGCAATTTCACTCCACACAGGCATTTACTATAGCAGGGAATGAAACAGATGGCAATTCTCTGAAAAAACTGCACTTTACTCAACTTAACTGTTCATGGGTGACCAATTGTTTATAACACTTATACATCAGATGTTACCTAAAGCAAAAGCTATCTAAAGACTCAGGCTTACTACCAAGGCTGCCCCACAGGTGCTACTTCCACCCTGAGGACAGTCGTTTCCAAAAGAAGGAAATGGGAGGACCTGACTAATCAAGCTTACATAAAACCTCTGTCGCTTTACATTTACAGATCCATCAAGCTGGTGTGTGGAATCATGGCTCCCACTGCACTGCATAGGAACCAAACATATATGACTCTCAGGACAGGTTCTTTATGACCAAGGACTGGCAGGAGCTAACACTTTACAAATGATAACAAAACCAGATGGATTACATAAATTTTCAAAAGGCCCCATAAACATTCATCTGGACCTCTCCACTTAATTTGAGACAATGTGGAGTTTTGGTTGGTTGGTTGGTTGACTGGGGCAATTTGTAGATTTTGTTTGTTGGGTTTTGTTTTGGTTTTTGAAGAGTAGTCAGCAGCACTTCATATAGATTCTCTGAAACTTCTGAATACTCTGCGTACTGCTCTTGCATGGCTAATGCTTTAACACAAGCCAGACCATCACACAGACCCTTCCTTGCACTTTCACAACGTGTTTTCTATCTCCCCATTTACAATTATAGAAATCCATCTGGAAGATGGAGGCTGTTGCCAATCACCATGGACCACCAAGGAGAGTGCCATCAATCTACAACTGTTCTAAAGAGCATTCTGATAAACCAGTGATTACAACAGTTGCTGTAAATACCAACAGTAAATTCTATTTAAAGCTTGACAGACTCAATGAATAATATGGAAGTTAGGGGGAAAAAATAAATTGATAGATATTTCCAGATAATAGTCACAACAAAAATGCAATGCAATCTCTGACTGAGCATGCAACTTACTTGGAGGCTCTCTGGCCTTTACAGTGCCAATCAGGCTGTCTTCAGGTGCATCTTCCGGAACACAAAAAGTATATCGGGATCTCTCAAATATGGCAGGGGCCAAAACAGTCTGAAGGATGTTTACTGTGACAGCTGCATTGGTGGCAGAGGGAAGGCCACCCCCATCCTGTGCAGAAACAGTCAGGAAGAGTGCAGAATGTGCCAAGTGGCCAAGAGCTGAGATTAGGTAAATAATTCCTGAAAGTACACAGAAATAAAAGAGCAAAGTAGGTAGAATTCAGCAGGCTGTCAAAATAGTTTCAACATGTATCGCTACTCTAAGAGAAAACCAGACAATGTGGACAAAAAGCAGCACTCCCAAATCCTTTTTTGAGAGCCAGGTTTTTTCAGAGTATATGGTCTTTACCATGTACAAAGTCACTGAGACACAGCAAGTTCTGTGTCAAAACACAGTGTCCATAATTCTGATTTTAAAAACACAGATTCAGCTAAATCTTTAGCAATGTGAGGAAAACCACAACTTTATTAGTACTAGTCTATAGGAATCTGGAAGTGCATTGGGGTAAAGGGAAGTACTTTATTGTTGCAAAAGATTAACTCTGCAAATGGTAAAGTTAACTTTATTTCAAATAGGCTGCAGAGACATTCTGCTTGAGTAACTCCCCAAATAAAGCACCCACACAAATGGGGTTGAAGCCTCAAAATACAAACCTTAGGAGCAGTGAGCTCTATAGAAAGTATCTGGGAAGCAATCACCTGCTGTCTGACCACAAGTTTCTGGCAAAATACCCTTTAATAGTGAATTCTAAAGTCTGTTCAATTTGCAAGCTGCGAACAATTACACTTTATATGAACTGTACATAACAATTCTTTGAAAAGAAAATACTATGTTCTGTCCCAAAATGCAGCTCTCTACAGGAAGTTCAGAATGGCCTACCACAATTATCCAAACCTGATACTTGTTAACTGTTCCGTGAGAGACAGTTAGCCATTCACTGTGCTTTGCAAGCAAATTAAGGATTTATAAATGAAGATATAAACCCACAAATAAATCATTAACCCTCAGAGCATTCTGAAACATCTGGTCTAGATGAAGTGAACATAAATATTTAAAATTTAGGGGTAAACACTAGATCACAAAACAATACGGCAGATCACAGTATCTTTGTTACTTTATAAATTTTGTAACTATATTACAACATAAGCACACAGTGTAAGACCAGGTGCTTTCATCTGGGTAAAAGACAGAATAAGGAAATGTAATCATGTCCTAGAGAGCATTAATACTGGTTTGTCTTATCCTTGCCAACATCTTCCCTGGATGAACCAATATTGTAAGACCCTTTATTCATCACAGATTCTGCAACATCCAGAGAGCTATTAGTGAAGTAGATTTATCAACATGAAAATGAAGATGAAATGAGACCAAGCCCAAGAAATATTTTCCTAGGAATGAGTGAGTTTAACTAAATATACACTAAATGCTAAAATCACAGTAAACAAAGTAATAAGGTTGCAGTAAACTCAAGTAAATTAATAGGGTCAACCTTTTACAACAGATACCAACAGATATTTTTTAAGAAATCACCTATGCTCTTTGTAGAAGCTGGTAAAGACACAAAACCTCTAGTAGCTCAGTAAAACCAAACCTTTAAACTTTGAGCTACCTTTGCAATTTCCTGGCTCTCAAGACTAGTTTAATAGGGGTAATATTTGCAATTTAAATTGGAGATTTAGTGGTCAGACAGGGTAAAAACTAGATTTAACTTAAAGTGTCTTAGGAGAATCAGTGCATGATTCAATTACAATATATCTTCTCAAAATTTAGGGCAAAGCCACAACACTAATTTGCTACAGTGCATTTTTAATCAGAATAATGGAAATACATAAAATCCTTATAAATATTCAAATGTGCATGCAATATACTTTCCAATTATGCTGCCAGGACCTTATAATAACTAACTGCATCTTGACATGCTTAAAATGCATTAAAAGGGTCTTCATGATCCAGGGAGAATTCTTTTCACTTACAAAAAAACCCGATGCATTCAACAAACCACAGTAAAAACACAAGAGAGCTACAGACTCAGAATTCATTGCTAATCCATCTCCTATGCCAACAACAGATGCAATTCCAAGAATCAGCCTTGTTTTGGCTATTTTTTTGCCTTTTTTGTCTTCTGATGATTGAATTTTACAATTAGTTAAACAGCTCAACAAAGTAGTCTTTCAAGCACATAAACTTTGGGCATTTCCTGAGGTAATCTCAGCAACTGTAAATTGAATGAAAAAAGGTTTTAACCTTTTTTCCCCAAAAGTTAAATATATAAACATGGATTTTAACAACTGTTGCTGTCAAATTAAATTAAATCAATCAAATGAACTGTATTTTACTAGCTTGAACAATTGGGTATTTTTCTATTGACAAGGACAAAAAATAGTTCTCATTTTGGATACTTCAAGATGTACTGCTCTCAAAGCAATAACTAATGACTTCAGAACATCCCTTAGTAAAAGGAGGAGCAAACAGTGCTGCATTCCAGGAACTCTAAAGATCTAGTGAAACAGAAATATTTCCAAACCAAAATTATTTCTCTGCTGATCTAGACAGATTGCAGCACAGTCCACGCCAGTTCAGCTGCAGAAAGCAAAGAGAAAAGAAAATGAATAGAAGATTTTGCATTCTCTCTTCATTCTTCTGCTGCGTCCTAGGGAAAAAAGGGAATACACAAGTATGTCTCATCAACTCGGCTCTCTCTTGCAGGACCAGAGACACCCTAAGAACAATGGCAGATTCCAAAAAATATGTGTTTTCCTTATGATTCCTTCCAACTTCAGAAACTGTAGTATGCAGAAATGTAATAATCTATTTTGATTTTCAATTAGATATATATTCAGTTTTTTTCAGCATTTGTGGGACAGGGCATTAGCTTTGTATCTTGTGATATATAATGTATACAGACATTTGAGCTAGCTCTACCACACATTGATGGACATGCCTCATTAGGCTCTATTATGGTACCACATGACAGGAAAGAAGACGTAGAAATAAGCAGTATCTGGGATTTCACTTTCTATATGGTAAAGTAAAAGAGCAGACTGTGACTAAAATGGACAGTCAGGACTGCTTGGGTCAAAAGAAGCTATCAGCATACCCCAGAGCAGGCTGGCTAGGTGTATCTGATCTGCTGAAGTATGATGCAGGAGATCCCCTAGTACTACACTGCAAAGGCAGAAACACAGGGCTAACTCCAAGAAGCAGGAACTAACTGCCAAAGTCACACACTCCGTGTGTGAAACTCAACAGAGGCATGTCTCATTAAATAACAGGCAGAAGATGAGTCTTTTTTCCCCTGTTAAGAAAATATAGTGGCTTATTATTGTTATTACCAAAGTCATTTGCAGCCTGCAATTCATGGCTTCAGAGAGCTTAAAAGACAACTGGGTTGCTGTGGTACAGAATATTTTCTTCCACTATGAAAAACGGTTTCTATAAACACTGATCATGCAAAGGGAACAATGAGACAGCTCCTCCACAAGGAACGTTTTACCATGACCAAAGCTCCCAGCTCCACATGGACACAAGTGTGGGTCCACCTTAAGGAGCCACTGTGTGAAAAATGCCTCCTTCTGTCTTACAGCTTGGCTCCCCATATAAATGAATAATCTTATCTGCTGCCTTTAAAAACATTTAATTCTCATCTTTCCAATTTATTATTTATACTACTGCAGTGCCTTGAAGATTTCATCTCTGGTTAATTCCTGATTCTGCATAAGAGAGAGCTGCAATCAATTCTGCTTCACAGGTGAACAATCATGTAATTACATACTAGATGAAGCATTAACATCCAGCCTCACTTGCACCTTGGCAATCTCATTTTCTTGACTCAGTCTGCATGGGTGTAACTGACTGCAGACTCCAACCCTTATAAATCAAAAGCATGACATACAGACTGCCTACTGACTCAGTATGATTTGCATGCACATTTTAGACAGAATCTGCAATGCTGTTTGCCTGTTAGCAACTGCCACTACAGGTTCTAGTTTGGGAACAGCTCTACTCCAAGGCAGGTTAGCTCAGCACAGCCAAACTGCAATTTACAGATGTTTTACCGCAGAACAACCTGTCCCTTCTGGCAAGCAGAAATTGTTACAATGGCTTGAGGGTTGAATGTACTGTGAAAGCTAGTACTATTGAAGAGCAAAATCATGACTACCAACTCTTTCATATGCTTCATACTTCCTCACTCACTGTACGTGCTGGGGCACTAACTTCCAAAAAGTCTTGCACTCCACTTTGTCTCTATCAACAACAAAAGATAAACGAAGCCAAAGCAGTCTCACCCACCAAAAGAACCTTTTGTATGGAAAAAAATCATACTGATTAACCCAGTAGGATTTCCACACATACCTCCAGCTGGCACTTTGAAAACCTCTCTGGTTTTCCACAGGGTGCTCACATAAGGAAAGCAAAAACCAGCTCTACATTTATAGCCATTTGTAGGTAAACAAAATGTTTTCCACCAGTCAAGCACGGCAGAGGCAAAGATAAAAGTCAGGGCTCACTAACTTCAATAGAACATGGCAAGAGGAATAAAGTCAACAATTATCAATAATGTCCCTTAAGACTGTGAAACTGACACTCTAACAACTTTAAATGGTGGACGGATTTCTTCAGCAACTATCCTAGGATGGGCCAGCTGGCATGACCTGACACACAGCTCAGACAACAAGCAGATGGCAAAAAGGTACATATGGCTCCTTACCCCAGTTCACCTTTAAAGCTGGCTACTGGACCTGCTGTTCAATACTGTGTAGGTCAGTGCTGACCCACTGATCTGCTCAGAGCATGTCTATCCCAGCCTAGCACAGCAGCTTCCCAGTGCAGACATATGTACGGCTTTGCTTTTTATGTGCTGGAAAAGTTTTCAATCTGAGCATAGACAGAGTGATCCTCTGAAAGGTGGATGCAGTTAGGAGGTGTACATTTTGCATTAACATTAAAACTAGTGTTGTTTTAAGGAAGAACAATAATGTTTCTGCTTGACATTTCTATTTACGTTTATCCGATTCATTGCCTGAGCTGTAATCTTAGCACTGCATTTAGGTTCCAGTTTTAGCAATTTACCTATACTTAAAATGCACCTTTGATATTGAAACTGCATTCTTGATGGTAACCAGATGCTGACAAATGCAGTGTTTCAAGAGCTAGTTTAATAACTTCCAGGAGAAAGAAA